ATTGAGGTTAATGCAAGGTACTCTTCTTCTAATGGTTTGCCTTTGATAGATCCTACTTTATACTGCACTATTGTTGGGAGTTTGGTATATCTCACCATTACTCGTCTAGATATTGCATATTTTTTTCATGTTGTTAGTTAGTTTGTTGCTTCTCCCACTACTGTTCGCTGGGTAGATGTTCTTCTTATTTTATGATATCTTTTAGGTGCAGTTTTTCAAAGTCTTTTACTTTCATCCACCTCTTCCTTGGAGTTGCGTGCATACTCTAATACTGATCATGGTAGTGATCCCATAGATCGCAAGTCTGTTACCTGGTTCTGTATCTTTTTAGGTGATTCTCTTATTTCTTGGAAAAGTAAGAAATAATTTATTATTTCTCAATCATCCACCAAAGCAGAATATCGGGTCATGACATCTACTACTAAAGAGATTGTTTGGTTACATTGGTTACTTGTTGATATAATAGTTTTCTTTTCTCATCCTACCCCTATATATTATGACAACCAGAGTTATATTCAAATTGCTCACAACTTGGTTTTTCATGAGCGAACTAAGCATATTGAGATCGTTTGTCATCTTACTCGTCATCATCTCAAGCATAGCACCATTGCTTTGCCTTTTGTTCCTTCTTCCTTGCATATTGCAGATTTCTTTACCAAGGCACATTCCATCTCTCATTTTCATTCTTTGGTTGGCAAACTCTCGATGGTTGTAGCTGCCACATCATGAATTTAAGAAGAGATGTTAAATAATATTTATGTAGTCTTTATTAGGGGTAGAAGAATACTTTCAGTTTAATCTATATATATTTTATTTGTATTTAGGTTAAGATTAATCATTCATAATATACAGATTATTCAGAATTCTAGCCTCCTTTTTGTGTTTGTTCTTAATTATTTCAACAAGGTAAACCTTCTATAACTAATTGGACCGAAATAAAACAAAAACTATAAGAGAAGTACCTATCCTGGTCTTATAAGAATAAAGTCTTAGACCAATGAAATAATATAAGAGAGATTGAAGCTATGAATTTGTGTAAATTTTGTAAAGGTTTGAACGATAATTTTAGAAAAGAGATTAGACTTATATGTGCTTTCACTCTTAACTAAGCCTATATTGTAGTGCAAGATTATGATTAATTATAAAAAGTTAGTGGATAAAACATCAAAACCCTCATAATACCCTTTTTAGATCTCAATTTAGGAATGATGGTTATTTGTTAGGTTCTCCGTCATATAAACCTAGTCTTAGTAGTGCCCAAATTTATAAAAAATATTAAAGGAAAAGAAGTCGTTAATAAAATATCTAGGATGAGTTTAGAGATTCAGTGTTTTAACTGTCAAGGTTTTGAACATATCTTTTTCAACTGCACCTCTAATCCTTTAGTCTTCTAAGAACATATGGATATAAGTGAAAAGAAAAGTGTATGAACCCAATCTTAAGAACTTTAGTGACCTAGATGAAGAGAATGTGTAAGAAAAGAGAATTAACACTATAAGTTCAAATGAGTCTAAAAATAAAGTTAATAAAGAAAATAATAATTCTTCTTTAATTGTAGGAATAGAAGTTTTAGGAAAAACTTTAGTGGAACTTCCCTAATAGATAAATATAATCTTATAAAAGTCTTATGCTATTAGTTATCTTAAACCATTTGATTTCTCACCCATCATGCTTGATATCCAACAAGTAAAAGGTTTAGAGTAACATGCTCCTCACTCCCTTATACTTGATATCTAACACATTATAGGTTTAGAGTAACATGTTGAGTTCTCTGATCCTTTATCTTTGACACATGATGAAAAAGATGAAGATAATCTTAATTTATTAGGCTGTGTTCAAACAATATCTACTAAGACTTTGAATAGTGTTTGTACCATTCCACACCATCAGTCATATATTGTTCATAGTTACGAACTTAGAACACTTGTAGATTTTCTTTCCATATCTCCTCATTTTAAATTATCTAATTCAACTGAGTATTTTGCATGTAGAGTTTATCATTTACATGTTAAGATAAAAAAAAATTCAAAAAAGTAATGAACAATACAAAGTCCAAGCTAATTTACATAACTATCATGATGTACCTAATATTGGAGATTATTTTGTGATATAGATTAGCCTTGAACGATGTCCCTTGAAAACTAATTACAAATTTTAAATAAATAGTGTTAAATCTTTCAAAGTTTTGTAAATGATTGAATCGTTATAAATGATTGGATCAAACAATTATGTCATTAAATTGTTATCAAACTTTGATATTAGTTCTATTTTTTACATGAATAACTTCGTTATATATAAAATACAAATCATCTCTAATGCTCCTTTTGAAATCCATACCCCATTATCCTTATCTTTCATACAAAAGGAACATACTAATGTAACTATGGATGCATGAATAGTTTTTTGAGGGATAATAAATTTCAACAAATCTTAATATATGAGATAGATAACTAGATACAATTTATATTTGAATTATTAGTGAGATATCATAACAATTTGATCATAATTTTTAGGAGCATTATTGAAGCCTCCTTGAATTACAATCGATGGAGTTGAGTTTCTCCAACTCCGAGTGGAGATACCAAACATATACACTGATTACACACTTATATTATTATATACGATGAAGGATATCTTAAATTGTTGAAATGTTGGATTTTAACTTATATTTTAGTTTAATTTATTTAAATTTTTATTTGAAATTTATTAATTAAATTTTTTTTTGGTGGACTTGATTTAATTATTATTATTATTATGTATTTTATTTAATAGGCAATAAACCCAATTATTTATTATAGTTAGAATTTTAGTATTTATATCTTATTTTCAGCTTTTTCTTGTCTTTCTTTAACTAATTCTTCGTAGCTTCTTTTTGCTCTTTTATTTAGCTTCAAATCTCTTTGGTCCCGCGTTACTAAATTTGAAGACTTTCAGCTCCAATCAATCAACACATTAAATCATAGTGATTATTAAAAAGACTTGTAAAATCATGAAGGATAAAAAAACGCTACTCAGATTACAAAGATTAAAATCTCTTGAAAGAGGTAACAAACGAACAGAGAAAAACACAAACCAGGCAATTGAGAGTGGCTTCCAGTCTACCAGCCAGGAGCACACTTTGAAACTTATCAGGCCCGTGAATAACATCTCCTTGCTGAAAAGATCCTGTACTTTCTTCACTGTTACCACCATAACTAGCTCTAAAAACAGATGTTCTGACCAATTCAGTCATGGTCTTTGACAGAGCTTTATTCTTTGAACCAAAAAACTCAGATTTCGAAGCTGGAAACCGGAGCAACGAAATGGGTTTTGTTTGATTAAGCATAGAAGGACCACGAAGCAAGGATTTGGAAGTGGGTTTGGGAAGAGTAGTCGTCGTTGACGTCATTTTTTGTGAGAAGCAATGGCAGCCAAAGTCTGGTAGGAAGTATAGTGGAGAGGAGCATTTCTTGGAGATTTTATTACAAGTGGGAAATAATTATCTATGATGGTGGAAGTTATAAATTGGGCATCTTGAAGGACTGGGAAGCCATGGAAGAGCCTGGGCTTCCATTTGTTTTTATTGACGACGACGACCTACCACCTCACTTGGAGGAACCTTGTGCTAATTTTGTTTGTGTCATCTCTGGAATCTGTCATTGCATGGGGTCCCATTTTCTTTTTATTTAAATTATGAGAGTATTATCCCAACAATTTTCCTACGCTCAGTTTCATGATAGTTAGTTAATACTTCCTCGGTCCTAAATTCTAAATTAGTTTCTGAGCCGAGATGCCACGGATTTTCTTAAAATAAATTTTTATTTAAAAGAGTCCAAGGAAAAGTTTATTTTTTTAATTAAATTTTTTTTTTCTGTTTACACATCTCTTTTACAGAATTTTTTTATTAACAACTTTGGTTTTTTAATAAAAAATAAAAATAAATATTTACAAGAATCTCAATAATTTAGATTTAGAAGGGAAAGTATATTCTTAAGACAAAATCCCATTTTCCTTATTCACTGTTTTTTTATTTCGACAAAAATATTTTTTATTAGAAATATCTTTTATAGATGAAAACTTATCATAATCTATAATCTAAAAGGAAAGTTTCAAATAAAAAAAAATCATGTCTTCATAATTTTTATATGAAATAAAAAATAAAAGAAATAATTAATTCATGAAAATATAAACAATTAACAATAACAAAATATATACTGTGTTGTCATTAAATATGCATGTGCAATTTTTTGTTTTGTTTTTTATATCAGGTTCATAAATATTTTTTTATAAAATAATTAGTAATATAACTATTAAAAATCTCTATCCTTATTTGGAAATAACGATATCATCATATGATTTTTAAAATACCAATATAATTTTTTATATTTGAAAAAATTTTTATTTTAGGATATTAAAAAAAAAAAGAGAAGTGTCAGCAAAGCTAAGCTCATACACACTTCACCTTTAAAAACAAAAAGGATAATAATTATTGGGCTGGTAGGCCTAACTGTATGCTTAGGCTTAGACAGACTTTGGACTTAGTAGGTTATAGAGTGTGACTATTTTTTTTTTAAGTATAAATAAAGACACAAAATAAATTTTACAGTTTTAATTATAAAATAAATTTATCGATATTTTTATTTGATATTTTTATTTTGATGAACATTGAGTTCAAGGATAAATTATCATCAAAAACAAAATTCAAATAACTTTTATGTAGGGGTATTTTTCAATTTTCTATTTCAAAAACATATTAAAATATCTACATTACCATTCAATGCAAAAATTCTATAGCTGTTGTCTAGGTTTTTGTTTTTTTTATTGTCTTGATTTTTTAGTTATTGTCAAGTTGAATAAAGTAAATTTAATCTTTTAATAAATATAAAAAAATATATTGATGGTGTAAGCAATGCACATGCTAATGAATGGAAAGAGCTTGTGCTCTCTTAGAGGCACGTGTGAACTCTTCTTGTAGCCAAATACTATCTTCTGTTATAGTGTTTAAAGTGGCTCACCAAAATATTTTTGATGAATGAGGACATGGTGGCGACGAACAACCGATGTGATTCCAATGAGCTTTTTTTTTTTTCTCTTCATTTTCTCTCTCTTCTCCTTGTAAAAATACATAAGTTTCTTTTCATGTTTTTTTATCTAATTTAATTTTTATTCTTGTGATTCCTATTTGTTTTACTTTTGAATTTTATTAAAGTTTTTTTTAAAAAAATTTATCTCTAAAAATTTAATTTAATTTAATTTATTTTTTATAGCTTATTTGACCATCATTCTTTTAATTGCTATTTATTTATTATTTTTTTATGTTTTTTAATTTTTTGCCTCAATATTTTATTTGATTTAATTTTTGTATTAAAGTTTGATTTTTATTCTTTTGATTATTGTTTTTTTTTCATATTCTTAATTTATTTTATTTTTCAGTTTAATCCTAATTATTTTTTTTCATTTACTTTTTATACCAAATTTGATATTAATTACTATTTATTTATTTATTAATTAATTTTTAATGATTATAAATTTTTTTTTGCTATTTTTATAACAAATTTGATCCATATATCCCGGATCATAGGTTAACTAGTTTAACTTTGATTGAAATCATGTTTTTTGTTTTTTGTTTTTTTATAATTTTATCATTTGAGATTATGTTATTGGACTTGTAGCTATGTAATTATTTTTTCTTGTCTTCAGTGGGATTATCCTAAGTCATGAGTTAATTAAGTTAACCTGAGTTGATTCAAAATTTTTTATGTTTTTTTATTGATTTAACTTTGGTTTTTTAGGTTATTTTTTAAAACATTTATTTGTTTATTCTAATCTCATACTGTGTGTTGTGAGTTAGTTGACGTAGCTCAAATTTACTTAGGTTTTTTTTTTTACATTGATGTTTTTTTTTCATCTTTTGATATTTAATTATTAGGCTTTGAGATTTATAATTTTTTCTTCTTTTCTTTTTGTGGGTTATCACGGGTTGCAGGTTAGCTAAGGTAACCTAGGTTAACCCGATTTTTTCTTCAATGTTCATTTTATTGATCTAGCTTTGGTATTTTTTTCCAAACCTTTTATCTTTAAATTTAATTTTCTTATCTTAATCTCATATTACATATCGTGGGTTAGTCAAGTTAACTCAATTTTTTTTTAAATTAATTTTTTTAATCTCATCCTTTGATGTTATGTTATTGAGCCTTTTAATTTTTTCTGCTTTTGTTTATGTGGGGCTATATCGGGTCACAAGTTAGTCAATTTAACCTATGGTGACTTGACTTTGTTTTTCAATTTTTCTTTATATATTTAACTTTGATCTTTTTTTAGATTCTTTTTAAAAGTTTATTTTTTTAATCCCAGTCTCATATTGTAGATAATGAGTTTGTCAAGTTGATCAGGGTTAACTAGGTTATCATCACTTGGATATTCTTTTTCCACTTTAGAAAAAAATTAATTGACCCATAGCACAATACAAGTCACCTATCTAGTATGCTTCTAATAATTTCTTCAAGTGAGGGCAATCCAACCAAACCATATGGACATGGTCTAGCAGGCCTATGATCATGACTAGCTAGAGGGCGAACTCCCTTGTTTTAGAGGTCTTTTGATTACGCCCTTATATTTTATTTTTTAGAATATGAGACTTTATTCAAAATTATTAACAAACACCCAGCCTTATGGTATTTTTACTATAGCAACATTTATTATTCACTTTCTCATCAATCACTATAGATTAGAACAATCATTTTTTTAATTTAGTTCGCAAAATTTTTTTCTAAATTTTTTTAGAAGAAAAGGTTGAATTGAAAGATAAAGGACTAAAGTGCAATAGATGTCGTCTTAGAATTTCAATTGAAAAGTTAATTTAAGTCCCTCATCTTTTTAACCTATTTGGTAAATGGTCCCTTTAGTTTTCCTAAATTCAATTTTGGTGTCAAACTTTATATCCCTTATTTTTCAATCATTTTTTGTTAAAGTAAAGAGAGAGGGTTACCAAATTTCAATGTAAAGAGAGAAATTCATTGTTGTCAATGATTCTGACAAAAAAATAGTCAATTTTTGTATCTATGAGTTTTATTTCATAAGAGGAGTTTAACTTAGGTGTTTTTATTCATTCCTTGCTCGATTTGGTAGTTTTGGGTTGATTTTGATTTTTCAAGCTATTTTTTGTTTGTTTTTTGTGGTATATATAGATTTATTAAGGTGTTTAGAGTGTTTTAGGTAAACAAATTATAGAAAAAATATAATGTGTTGTCTACTATCTTATTAAAAAAAAAAAAATGAAATGGAGTCATCTATCC